ACTGTACACGTAAAAAAAATAACAGAAAAAATAACAATAACATACAGTGTTGGGTTATTCTAGTAAGATTTTTGTCTTTGTAAAACCGTATTCTTTCTTGTGCTGCTCACGTGCGCCGCGGGACGGGGCGGGGTGCTGCGGGTTCGCGGCGACACACAACACAACATGCGGCACAAAGTGAACCGGTTGCCAAAGCGATACCCATACGTCCAACGGGAACGGGCGCAGGGCGTCGCGAGAGGCTCGGGAGCGCTCGACGGGAGGGAGAGAGAGAGAGCCCGTCCGAGCAGGATAAGTAAGTTCCCTTTCGCGGACGTCTCAAACAACAACATAAACAGGCTCAGTCCATGAGAATGATATCGGCCACGGGGACAAGCCGGACACTCCGAACAAAAGCAGAAAGGCGGCTGCCAAGGTAGCAGAGCAAGTGTTTTACTCGTAAATAAAAATCTCAGACAGCAAAGAATAAAAACACTTCTTTTCGATGACGTTGTCGATGGCGTGGTTGGTGTATCGCTATCGATAACGTTTACTCACAATACGTAACGACACACACACACACACTCACAACTCACTGACAGGCAGACACACGGACACTCGGGCCGCACGCAGCACGCCGCGCAACGCGCAGTGAATCATCTCAGCGGCCCATCGGCCGGCCGCCGATGCTTTTCCATTACAAAAGCATCGCGGTGCATTACAAGCCCACTTTGACTGCGCAAGCTGCGCGAGCAAAGCGGTCGGGGCAAAGCGGCAAAGCGCCCCCACCCCAGCGCGTGTGGCTCTAGCCGCGTGCAGAGTCGTGGGCGCGAGAGCCTGTCGCACAATCATTGTCCTCCTCATCGATGGACGACGAGCAGACCTCTTGTTACAGTGACTCGCCGCACGACTGCAAAAACGCCCCTAGCAGTACAGTGGTGAGGCCAGAGCCAGGGCGTGCGTGCGTGCCCTGGCCTCACCACTGTACTGCAAGGGGAGGGTAAGTTTATACTTTCAAGGCACCCTCACCTCCCCCCCCCCCTTTGCACAATGTCATTGGATCATTCAAGCACCCCTTTAAAAAGTTTTTAGTTCCCGAGTGCTGCCGCTGTGTTGTGTTTCCAGTTCCAGTGAGCGCAATCTGTAAAACGGCAGCCCCAGCACAGCAGCCCAGGGTGTGTCGGGACTGCCTGCGGTCGGGACTCGCACGGCGGGGACCATAAACCATGGGCGCCACACCCACACCTCGCCGGCCTACTGTCAACCTAATCGGCCCGCACCGCGCCCCGCCATACCACCGCGTCCTGTTCCGCTGCCAAGTTGACGGCGTTGGAACTAACGAGCTCTGCTCGGGACCAGACCAGGGCGCGCGGCGGGCTGCTCGGGGGCAGTCATGGGAGGCGGGCGGCCAGGTCTGCCAGGTCGGGCTGCAGCTGGAGCCTCCATAGGGACCAGACCAGGCGGGTGGCGGGGCTCCACAGTTGGCAGCCCAAGTGAGACGTCCTGACGCAACAATGCAGTCCGCGCTGCGGGGCTTACAGCACAGCCAGGGGAAGGACGTGGCGCGCGGGCGCACCAGCGTAGCGGAACATTTGTGTGTTTTCATTTATTTTCAAGGGGAATTCCCAGGCGAGCAATGGTGGCCATAGCGTACGAGGCGACTTTTTTTAGTTTTGACGTTGAATTGTTTGGTTTTGTTATGTGAGAAAGTGTGCCAACTAAAGAACGAGAGGTTGAGTAGTGGGGTGGTCCCAGGGCGGGAGCGGGATAGACTTGTCGCCGCGGCCATCGGCGGCGTCGCCGGCAGGATCTAGGATCAGGATCTCGGACCGGGATCATATGCATAGGGATTAGGGGCAAGGCGCGGCAGCCGCCGGACCGGACCGGCTGCAGTGCGCGGCCGTGAAAATAAAAACGAGGAGATGATGATTGCGGCCCGATGAGGCCCGCGGCAGCATGACACCCGCGGCCGGGACGGGCACCTCGCCGTCGACAGCACCAGGAGGAGGGCGGTGTGATCTGATCCGGCGGACGCGGGCCCATATCGTCTTGCAGCCATGGCCCCTCCAGCAGAGCACGTGCGCGCGGGTCTTTGGACAGACGAGTGCGAGTGCTGGAGCCGTGTTCTGGAGCGGCAGCGTCCTGGACCTGGAATGGGCCTCGAGGGGCTCGCCGCCCGTCCGGTCGTGACATCCGATGCTAATGCTGGCGCCGCGGCCCTTTTGTCCTCCACGGCGGCCTGCTGCTCCATTGTTGGGGGTCCTCCTGGAGGCCAGGGCGGGCTGCTAGCTGGAGGAGCTCTCCACGATAATTAAAGTGTGAGTCGGCCGCATTCCGTTGGCGCGACGGCGGCGGCGGCGCTGTCGGCGCAGTAAGGGTCCACGGGGCGCGCAGCCCCGGCCACATGCGCGACCCGCGCGCGTCGTAAAAGTAGAGTGCTCCCGGAGAGTCGAACCCTTTTATGACGTTGAAGAAGCTCCCGCGGAGAGTCGCGCCCTCCAGGCCCGCGCGGTCCGACGGTCCGACTGGAAGGAGAGACGGCCTTCCTCCATAGGACCCGCACTCGAGCAGCGCTTTGGGTCACCGCTGATGAGTCGCATGACACGATGTCGCCACGTCGCCGCGGTGGTGGTCGTCCAACAACTGGCCGTTATAGAGAGACGTCCCGTCCGCCCCGCGCAGTCCTGCCCCGAGCAGATTAGATAATTAGCCGCAGCAAGAGAGTGTCCCGTCCCGACGTCGCCGGCCGCCGTGCGTCGTCCGGCGGCGTCTCCGCGGCCGAAGCGGAATGCGTGCTGCTGCGAGGGGCCGCCGCGGGGCGTGCAGGGCGTGCACTACACCGCCACTGCACGGGGCACGCGACACGAGGCGGCCGCCAGGAAGCGCACGGCCTCGCGCACGCACCGCGGCGGGGACCTCCGTGAAGCCTCCGCGGGCCGCGCTCTTCCGAGACCTGGACGGGAGGCCCCTTCTCCAGGTTCTGCGCCGATGGATCACGATCACGACTCTAGCTGCGGAGCTGCATCCGACAGGCAACCTCCATCCGCGGAGTGTTGTCCTGTCCCGCTTCAAGAGTCCTTGCAATTTCCCTGGAGCCTCCAGCAGGCGCAATCTCTGCAGAATTAATTCACTTTCGGGTGTCTAGAAGCCAATTTTGGCGGGCTTCCTGTGTGCACAGAAACACGTCTGTTGGCCGTTTTGCTCTGGTGTCGACGTGAGGTCTCTAGACAATTCCCTTGGAGGGAGACTCCAGCATAAGGTAACCTCCTCTTAGTCTAAGACCCCCTCCTGCGCGGGGCTCCAGGCCGGCCCTACTAGACTCGGGCACGGCATCCAGATCGCTGCGCGGGATCTTGTCACGACACGGCGGCTGGCCGAGAGTCGAGCCGAGAGTCCACTCCGCTCCGAAGGAGGACACGGCACTGGCACGGGCTGACCGCCGGCATAGCCAGGGTACACCCCGCGGTGAACATCCTGCACGGTCGGGTGCGGGTTCGAAACCATCGGAGAGCGACACGGAGTAGTCTCGCGACTCTTAATGTATTTATTCCATTATTTTCTATCGCCGTTGTTGTCGCCCCTCGCGTCCCCTATCTGTGCCACACACAATGCAGCCCGAGCCAGGTCACGGGTCACCACCCCGAAGGGACGCGGCGACGGGGGTCGGGGGGGACGCGCCCGCCGCCGCGTCGCGCACCCGACTGTTGGCCCACAAAGTTGTGTTAGTGACACGACGTTGGGTCCACTTTACTTTTCACACCGTAAAGAGCGCGCACGCACACAGACACATACACCCATACACACATCTAGCTACAAGGTGCAACGGCACGGCGTTGCTGCAGCTGCAGCTAGTGCTGCTGCTGGATGGGGACGCCGTTGCGACCACTTGGCGACCGCAAAAGGCTCACACGAACATGCCCTGTGGTGTATGCGGCTGCGGCGGCCGCGGCGAAACCTCCGAAGTGCAGGAGGTGTTATCTCTCTTTCTGTCTATCACTACTAGAGCCCTCGTGCAGTCGGAGCATGTCCGCAGCCATAGCGGGCAGCGAGAGCAGGACAAGAGAAGACAAGAGAGGGTGTGGCCGCGGCCAGCAGCGACAGCGACAGTCGCCCAGCCCAGGTCCAGCCGCGCCTGTTCGCCTTCCGAGTCTTCGTCGCACCTCATCGCCGTCGACCTGTAAGCGACTCGTTTTCGCTCGAGTCCTTCGGTTATTAAAACACTCAATGAGCATGGGCCGCTCGCGCCTCATTCAGCGCGGGCATACCTGAGTGGAGTCCCGTGTCAGAGCCGTCGGGTCATCCTCCCTACCTGGACCTGCCTGCACCCTGCACAGGTCGGGGGCCCGGGGTGGGGCGGGGCGGGGCAGAGCCCCCAGCCAGCACAATGTTGCACTACAAGCACCCCGCCCACCCCGCCGCACCCTCCCGCTCTACTCCTTTTTCTTGTTCGATGGAAACCGAGACCGGCCGGGGGAAGGGAACGAATCCAGCCTAGGGGGCGGGCCGAGGCCGGCGCCGCCGCCGCCTGCACGCCCAGTCTGTCACAAAGGGGCGAGCCGCGCTCGGAGGGGACGAGCAAAACGAGTATAAAAAGTGGAAAAAGAGGGAATGAACGCTCAGCCGGCCCTCTCCCACAACCCTTTGCCAGAGCCCGTTCCGCCCACGACCAGCCTGCCTGTCAAACCTGTTGGCAGGGGTGCGCGCCACAAGGCTCGAGGGCTCGAGGGTGACGGCTGACGCTGACGGCGGAGCTCTGGACCAGACTCCGGGACTCTAAGGCTCGCCGACGGCTGTATGGCACATGAGCTCAGGAATACTAGACTCTAGGACGCTAAGGGTGGCCGACGGCTATGACAGCACCCTAGGGCTCGCCGACGGCTGTGGCACAGGAGCTCTGGCATACTAGACTCCAGGACGCTAAGGGTCGCCGACGGCTGTGACAGCGGAGCTCTGGAATAGACTCCAGGACCCTCAGGGCTCGCCTACTCCAGAAACTAGCCGTTGTCGGCTGTCAAACTTACCTCTAGCACGAGTGGGCACGACGACGGCTTTCGGTGCATTTTCGGTAGTAATCCTATGAGTGGTCCATCGGGCGTTGCGGCGCAGGATTCACTGCCTGACACTGCACTCACATCCACCCACACACACACACGCGAGCGCGTACGTAAGGCCGGTGCGCTCTGCACCTCGGGGCGTTAGGGGGCACAAGGCACGGCCAGCGTGCCTGGAATGTGGTGGGAACGTGCGCTGTGCGCTCGAGGGGCGGTCCAGGGCGTCGGGACGCTGCGGCCGTGGCGTCGGGGCAGGCGTCGCGAAGCAGGCGAAGCGAGTGCGTCTCCTCGCCGGCAGCTGTCACCGTGACGTTTTTACACCGCGAGCAACGCGAGGCGCGGCAGGCGTCGCGACGTAGCCTGGCAGTGACTGAGACTGAACTGAACACTCACTCGATGTTGTGCTCGGCGGCGTGGCTGCCTGCATGGGCTGGCCGCGGGCGCCCTCCTCCCTCTCCCCTCGCCTCTCTCGCCTCACATCCTGCCGACGCCGCCCCGCCGCCTTCCCTCCACCCGCCTCCCCGCCCCTCCCCTCTCTCCTC